ATGGTAGCGGAGCAATTCGGTTTATTCTTGCGCTGATCATCTTGCAAAGATGAACAAGAATTTGGAACGGGAACTACCAGTTGGCACTCCCGCCATCATTTTTGCTGAATGATTTTTATTTATTAGACTGTACGATAAAACAAACGGTACAAGTGTTATTAACAAAAAAAAAATTGGATGCGATTAACAATTTCCTTTGTAGCCTATTATCACTTTATTCTCGTATCTCTTAACTTGATCAAATCTCTACGTATTACAGATTTGATGGATGCCTCTCATACTGTGCCAGCTGCGAGACATGCCCCCGCGTCTTTGAATTTTGGAGTTTCTATACGAGTTCAAACTTCAAAAAGTTTTTAACACGTTCTTCATTCATGTTCCCGAACATGTCTTTCTTTCCTTAAACAGATCAATGGCTCGGATTACGGGGCTGCTGCTTCCCGGAAGTCAAGGAGAAGATGGTGAAATAATGAGGCTTAAAGATTGCAAGAATAGTCAATAAATTAGTTGAAAATAGAGCAAGAGAGAGAAGACCAAACATCACCTTAATAAAACCATGGGCGAATGCCAGACAGACAACATGACAAAGAGTTTGACTTTTGAGTCGTCTTCTTAATTAATTTGTTTGGACAAAATAAGATAGTATATAATGTCAAATTTGGATGTATGAACCCTTGTCTTTAACTGTTATGGTTTCACACTAGATATCATGTTAGATTAGTTCATCAAATTTCAACAAAGTTCTCGCGGTACTAATCTGGGTTCTTTTTTTTTTTTTTTTTGGGTCACTGAAATTAGATAATTTTTTTAGTAGATCTTTGAGAGAGCTATATAGTTTTGAGTGTCCAAAGTTTTTCCCAAAAAAAATTAAGCGTGGTTCTCCAAGTCCAGCACTATAGCTCTTACGTCTAGGCCAACCCAATCTTTGAGAGAGCAAAATGTATGTTATCCTTAAGACAACAAGGAAGAAAAGGATCCAACTTCAAAGTGAAGAATATAGGCAAACAGATCGATCCCTTTCTCTTTGGACTTCTCAACAACCTTTTCTCCTTTAATTTGGGGAAGTCAGGAACACGGTTTGCGGTGGAGGAGAATGTTTGAGGAGGAGGTTCTCTTTTTAATTTCTTTTCTTTCTCTCTTTTTTTTTATTATTATGAAATTAAATTTATCTCTCGGTTTAGATCGCTTTAAGTACTTTAAACTTTTCCCTTTTCTGGATTAATCGTGCTTTACTTATATCTTTCGACATTCATCTTTTGGATGTGATTCTTTGCAGTATAGTCAAGCAAAGTAATGGTATATATATTGTATTGGATTGTTAGAGGACCTGCCTGTTTTACTTTTACTTTTACTCTTTTTTTTTTTTTGGGTTTTAAAAAAAAAAGAAAAAGAAAGATCCAGTGGAGGATAAGGTCACAAATTCATGTCGCCAAGGTAGCCTTTGTTTGATTAGGGTAAATTTTCTTGGCCATCTAGGAACGAAGATAAGGATTAGTTTTTTTCGTCAGAAGATAAGGATTAGTTTTTTTTTTTTTTTTCCCAAAAAGATAAGGATTAGTTGATTACATGCAGCATGATTCGTCGCTGTAGTACGTACCATGCTATAAAATTAAATAACATGTATCACATGGAAAATATAGAAGCTACTTGGATGGATGGATCCCTCGTCCCGCTAGTCATTCACACGATACAATAAAATAGAGAAAGGAGAATGAAAGGTGAAAAATTATTGGTAAACAATAAATGCTGAAAAAGAAATTCAACTAAAAAACACCAGGTCCTTGAAAGCAAACTACATGTACATGTTGCAGAAGGATTTGTACAAATTAAGTGCTTGGTTTTTTTTTTTTTTTTTTTTTTTTTTTCTTCTTTTGCTTTTCAGCAATATGAGATACTTTAGATTCTAAATTTGAACCACCCACAAAGGATAAGATGCAGCTTAAGATATCATATTAAAGTAGTAAATACCTGCTTGTTAAAGAAAAAAGATAAGATGCAACAACTAATACAAATTAAAGACAATATTGTCAGATATGCACAATCCAAGTCCAAGAACACAATAAGGAAAAAAATAAAAAAAAAACAAGGAGCATGATTAAAAAAACCTAACAATACCTTAAATAATTCACTAGAGTTGAAATGTCCAATGTCAATATGTCATGGTCAGTGAATCCCATCTGCATCACGTATTTAATTAGCCCTTCAAAATCTTACAGACCACCGACGACTATCTTTCTCTCTTTTTGTGTGTGTGTGTTTTGGTGCAAGGCAACATTTATTAAAACACAACTAGTTCAAAGAAGGAAGAAAAAAAATACACAAGTAGTTCCAAAGCAAAAAAGAAGAAAAAATTATCCAAATTTTTTTATTACCAAAAAGAAAAGAAAAGAAAAATTTACCTAGCTCAAATTAGGAGCGTGCAAAATTGAAAAATTTCGATTTACCGATCGAATTCAAATTGAATAATTCACTAGAGTTGAAATGTCCAATGTCAATATGTCATGGTTAGTGAATCCCATCTGCATCACGTATTTAATTAGCCCTTCAAAATCTTACCGACCACCGACGACTATTTTTCTCTCTTTTTGTGTGTGTGTGTGTGTGTGTGTTTTGGTGCAAGTAAACTATGAGCTGGTAAATGACAAAATCATTATTTGATAAATTCATCCATCACTCCAATAATTGTTGTATGGATAGAAAGGCAAAGTTTATTAAAATACAACTAGTTCAAAGAAGGAAGAAAAAAAATACACAAGTAGTTCCAAAGCAAAAAAGAAGAAAAAATCATCCAAATTTTTTTATTACCAAAAAGAAAAGAAAAGAAAATTTTACCTAGTTCAAATTAGGAGCGTGCAAAATTGAAAAATTCTGATTTATCGATCGAATTCAAATTGAATTCGAAATTTTCGAAATCGATAATTCGAAATTTGGCACTGAAATCGAAATTTTTGATTTCAATTTATGCGAATTCGGCAATAGAGTTTTTTGAAATCAGAATTTGAAAAATTTACCTAGTTCAAATGGTCATAATCCATAGTACTATAAGGTTAGAATGCATTAATTGGTGGATATTGCCTAAGGACAGGTACCCCAACTACAATAATAAGTGACAAAATAATTCAAGCTACCAGGACCATAGATTGTTCTCTTCACAAAAGAAGATTAAAACGTGCATTTTGTTCTGGTTTGACTCTTCATTCGATGGGGTATTCTTTGTTTCATACATGGGTTTGTTCATATATGTCTTCTTGTTTTCTAGCTGACCATTAAGAGCCAGCCAGTTGCACATACATTTGATATAGATTTAGTTCCCCATCCCCATGTGTAACACACCTCCTAATATACATTTCATTCATTCGTCCCGACTGTGTTGTGCGTTTTTTAATGGCTGATTTATTAGAAAATTAATGAAATTCCAATGTTTTAATAATAATAATAATATAAAAAAAAAAAGAAGTTCCCCATCTCCATGTGTAACACATCTGCCGGGGCCTTTCCATCAATGAAGGTTGGGAAGACTTTTTTTTTTTTTTTTTTGCCCTTTCTAATGCCTGCATCCAGCGACGATGAGCATGATGACAGTGGTATTTTTCCAACCATTTAACGGATATAACAAAACTAATATCTGACCCATTTGGCTTACGGAGTGACTGACTTCATAGTAATATTTGTCATTGGGTTTGTCCAATAAGAACCGTGAACTCCAAATGTTAATAGTTTGGATAACAAATGTAAGACATGAACCAGTAAGTGTGAATATTTACACATTTTTTTTGGATTAAACTGGTCACTGGGCACTGATTACAGAAATCCATAACATACTATACCTACCAAATCTGCCAATCCAGTGAATCTGTTCTACAATCTTGTCATTATTCTACAGTCATCTGGACGCTAGCTGCGTAGATATTTTAGGAAATGTTTCCCAGATTCAGAGACTTGTGCAGCCATGCCAATCTCTCATTTGTAAGTCAAATAATTGTTGGACTTTGGAAACCATATAGTATTACGTTCTCGGGATTATGAGTTGGAAGTTTTCTTGGTATGAGGTGAGTTCTGCTTCAATTAATCTATGCTTCCACAATACATATTAATCTGTATAAGTTTGTTTATACAAGTGTAATACGAAGGCGATTGTTGTACATGAGTAGTTCTTGAAACAGAATTCTCTTTTACTTTATCCATCTCCTCAACTCTTTCCCTAGTGCAAAAAAAAAAAAAAAATGTACATACAGAAAGATATCAAGAGAAGATTTCTCAATGTGGAGACTAAACCAAATCAATGATGCATTTAATTTCATTATACATTTGGAAAACTCCCAAACCCTCAATATATATATATATATATATATATATATATATATATATATATATATATATATATATATTTTTGTTAATTGTCATCCCTACTCCTACTCTATCTACGGGGAGACTTAACTGAACCTATAGGGACCGATAGGGACAGAACCACCACCGGATCAGACGGGTGCACTACGCACCCGTCTGGATTTGAAGCAAAACCACAAGAGTGGTATTTTGGTGTGAACCCTTGCCTCCCACCCCACCAAGGCCTTAAGGCCTTGGTGGTGGCCACCACCCCAAGAGTATATATATGTATTATGAAATTCTTGTCTTTGAGACTTTCTAGTTAAGAAATCCTCAGGATCCGGGAAACAAATGATCCAAGCTGACGCTCACTCGTCCACGTAAAGCAATAGTATATAGGGTTAAATGCAGAAAACCCCCTGAACTCTCATATGAGTTGCACAATACACCCCTAAATATGTTTATAGGCACTTTGCACCCAAGCTCCACTGAAAAGTAACGGATATTTATACACCGTTTGTTTTATGACCCAAATGACAACTTTATCCTCAGATAATAACTGAACAGACAAAAGCACCCTTCTTCTCCTCCAAACCGATTATGTCGGGCGGAAAGTACAAGGTAAAGCTGAATCTTGAGTTTGCCAAAATCTTTTGCCTTTTACTTGTGATCGAGGAAGAACCAAAGCCGAATGACTGCAGAGGGTAACTAGAAGTGGGCAAAAGACGGTTCGAAGAATTTAAAACAAATGGAATATTTAGAGTATCTCAGCAAATCAAGTAATATGCAAAGCCCTAATTTTTTCTTTATTTAATCGACTTTTTACCCTTTTTGTGTGGATCTGGATGTCCAAACTTATAGTTTTATGCCCTCGTTCTATTGGTAGTTCATTGTTGTTTTTTACTAGTTGGTTTTATGTTCTCCTCGCCATGATAAATTAATGATCGAGAGCAGTGGTCGGTGGTAAACTGTGAAGCTTGCAACTTTTTCCCTTTTGTTCGCCGCTGCTTTCAATCAGTAGTAGAGTTCAAGTTGTGTTGTTTAACGATTGCCACTGGGTTTGTTCCGACATCTAGCTAGCATTCATGGGTGAGTTTTTATTTTTACATTTTTTTTCTTCATTGTTGCTTTCTGAATGTGAGATTTTGACTGTTGAGTTTTGCTATGCTTTTTCCTTTATTGTTTCAGGCTTTTATTTTTTTGGTATTTCAAGTAGCTCAGAAATTTGTTCATTTTTCTCTGTAATTTTTTTTTAAGTCTTTCATTTGGTTGTTAGCTAATTTATTGGGTTGGCTTTGGTTTTTTAATTTGTGGCTTTGCTCTTGCGCATCTTCTTTTCACTTTTTTTTTTCTTTTTGTTCACTGTTGGAACACAGCTTTTATCTGACTGCACTTCCCTTGGTTGAGGCTTGAGAGACCATTTGTATTGCTTGTGCTAATTTAGAAGTTTTTGCTTTTATGTAAAGTATTTTGAGTCAATTATTTTCACCATGGTCAAATCATTGTTCTACGGTTGGATGAAATATTTTTTGAGATAAAGATAAGCCATATTGAAGGATTAGATCACTTGAGCTACAACTATGTGGACTGTGTTCCATGTGAGTAGAAGAAGAATTGTGCATCTGTGAAGAAGAGGAAATACAAGGGGGGAAAATGAGAAGTGATGGTAGGTGGTTCTCATTTATATTCACTGGAAGGAGGGCAATTCTGTCAGCAAATTCAACGGATAGAAAGTGGCTTCCACGCGTTTTATTTAACCGTGAAATATGTGAACGGTCATTTTCTCAGGGTGCAAAATGCCTATAAACATATTTCGGGGTGTTTCGTGCAACTTCCATGAAAGTTCATGGGTGTTTTCTGCATTTAACCCTAGTATATATACAGTAGTACTATTTACATAGTACATTTCCATCTGACATGTTTTGTATTATCAGTGGTTTGATGGTGACCAGTTAACAATTTTCTTTTCTTGATCTAGTTTGGAAATGTTTTGTACAAGCAACAATTTGCTCCATTTCTTGCCTAGTTATAATTAGTGAAGATTGTGATCCAGGGATAAACATCTCCATGTAATTCTCCCCCAACTGTCCCGAAAATGAAATTTGAAGAATATTAAAAAAAAAATTGGATTGACTGTGACTATTTAGGTAGTACCTGAACATGTAGTACATGTATTTAGGTAGTACATGTAATTGATGCGTCAACATTTATTTTTTCCCTCGGCCTCCCATTTTCTGGACCGCCAATTGAGAGCGGCGAAGATACATATGTCATGCCAAGGATACTTGTCATCACAATTCACACACCAATGCAATGAGATGAACCACATTTAGGCCAAAACCCCGGATGGAGTACAACTCCTCTTAATTTGGTCGATCTTTAAAGCTTTTCAGAATTAGGTCCTATCCTTTTGTAGTACCTGAAATTCAAAAGATCAATCTTTGCATGCAAATTTCTTGAACTTTGGATATAACAAGAGTACAAGGACGAAGGAAGCCTCCCATTGGTTGCTTGATCGAGAATGCTATGGGGTTAATTTTTCTTTTGGTTTTGAGAACTAGAGAAAGGAAATGGAGCATTGTTTTGACAAATTTGCAAGCAAATAAGTAGGGGTGGGCGCGGGTCGGGTACCCGCCCTATTCATCATTTGGCTGACCCGACCTGCACCTTACGGGTCAGCCATTTTCTGACCCTTACCCGCCCCGCATATCAGCGGGTACCCTATAACGGGTACCCACTGAGATAGGGTCGGATCAGCGGGTACCCACTCCGCCCCGTTTATCATTTAATTTTTTTAAAAAAATGATTTATATCAATTTAATTTTATATTTTACACATTCATCTAAGATTTAATAATTTTTTTTTCTAAAAAAAGGTTTCCCACCAAGAAACAAGCATATGAAGAGAATATAAGATAAAGGAAAAAAATTAAAAGAATTCAAAATCAATAAAAGTTTGAAATAAGTAGCACAGTTTTTAATATATATGTTCCACATTAATTAAACTTTTTTCTATAAAATATAAGATCATGACCTTTACAAATGAATCTTATAAATAAACTATAGTCTCTCATATTTGTAATGCAATTTGTTCAATAAAATTACTTATTTAGTTCTAACTTATTATTTTATAGTGTGTGTATAAAAATAAAAATAAAAAAAATATATATATACGGGGCGGATCGGGTACCCGCGGATTTTTAATTATGTGACCCTAACCCGCCCCGCATCTTAGCGGATACCCGACCCTCTTTTGACCCGATCAAATAATAAAAATCGGATACCCTAATTTTCGGATCGGATCGAATCGGATATGACGGATTTTTGGGTTAGCGGATAATTTTGCCCACCCCTACAAATAAGCACAGCCCAGCAGGTCTCGATGGCCTTGATTTTACTATTCCGCGTCAGTCACCCACTAAACTCTTTCCTCGCTAAAATGCTTCATCTGGGCTTCGCGGAACTGATCGATTTTGATCATTCCAACCGACTCTTAATCTTACGTAATTTACTCGATTAAGCCCAGTGAGATGATCATCAACCCTAAGAAATACAGATAATTCCCGACCGAAAAGGGTTGACTACCCTCATCCGTATTACTTGTACTTCTCTTTGGTAGTATATACTACTATACAGCAATACTTTTCTTTCTTGGAGTCAAGATAAGGAGGGATCTGAAACAGTAATAAGCTACAAGTGCTGTAACTGTACAAGCACAGCCCATGTGGTAAAGTGGTAACTGGTAGGTACTTACAGACAAACATGGGAGACCTGAATCCTTTTTTGCCCAACCAACAACTCAATCAGAGGAAACATGGGTAAACTGACATGCATGCCATGTATATTACAATAGTAATCAACATCAAAGTTATGTTCACCCTTTATGCCAGATAAGATGGCCAAGTTGGAATCAGGTCCTTCCAATTGATAAAGTGACAGAAAGAATAAATGCATATTGTTACTTTGAAACTTCCTTCTTGTTGTATACCCCATTCATTTGTATGATTTAACCCCACCACCACCTGCATCGTAGTCTTCATTAATATCCATCCCTCCCAAAACGTTGAACATTCAAACCACATGCTTAGTTGGTCTTAAAAATTTCAGGTCCACTCTCAAGTCAATAATTACATAGAATATTGCTGTTAAAATTGCTAGTACTATTCTTACCAGGTGAAGCCATCTTCTATATAAAGCTTTATGTATTCCTTCATTTCATCTCACTTCAAACACTTTCTTGGATTTTGTATTTCTCTGTCCTGAGAACCTTTCTAGTTTCTTGCAATGGGGATTTTCCCACCATGTTCTTCTACTGATATGTTGGGGAAATTGCTGGAGACGGTTTGTGGAAAGAATCGAGACAAACCCATAGAAATTGAGAATGGAGAGCGCCCAAAGATCAAAGGGACTGTCGTTTTGATGAAGAAGAACATTTTGGACGTGAAAGATGTTGGTGCCTCTATACTTGATAGACTGCATGAGCTCTTCCACAGAGGCGTCTCCATTCAGCTCGTCAGTGCTGATCAGATTGATCCAGGTAATCTTGATTCTGTAATTTTTCTGTCACTAACGAGTCTCCTAATTGGCTTGGTTCTTCAGTTGTATGAAGAAAAAAGAATCCCTTTTGTCCTTTCTCCGTTTGTTCTGCAGCAAAATACAACTGCAGATTATGCATGAAGTGAACCAAGACATTCTGATTTACTGCAATAAGTGGCGGATAACTTACAACTGCAGCAACCATTATTGTTATTATTTACTGTTGCAGAAAACGGGAGAGGAAAGCTTGGAAAAGCAGCAATCTTGGAGAAGTGGAACGCAACACTCACATCAGTATCAGCTACAGATGTTAAATTTGACGTCAATTTTGAGTGGGATGAATCCATGGGAGCTCCTGGTGCTCTTATAGTTAGAAACCACCACCATAGTCAGTTCTACCTCAAGACAGTCACCCTGGATGATGTTCCTGGACATGGTCAACTCCACTTTGTCTGCAATTCTTGGGTCTATCCTCAACATCGTTACAAATACAATCGTGTCTTCTTTGCTAACAAGGTAATTTAGCCAAACATGCAAAGCAGCAAAAACAATAATAGATTTGTTAGTTTCATAGAGTAATTAACTGCTTTTATATGTGAGTTTCATAAGGATAAGCATCACTAGATTGTCCTAAAACTGATCATTACTTAATAGCTACAGCACATACTTAGCTGTCATCTTTCATTTATTGCTATGATAGCTAGGGATGAGACAAATAGCCAACAGGGTTTGATATAAAGGAGTGGATGTTGTGAGTAGTAACCAATTTTTCAAACCTTAATAATTGACAATTTAATTATCATGTTTAGCTTTTTGGTGGCAGACTCACAAGCATCTTTTTATCCTATCGGGCCAAGATAAGTCTCCTTAATATAATTCATTGGGAAATTGGAAGCAACACCTGCTGAATGTCATTATTCTTGACAGTTGACAGCACAGCCAAGCCCATAGTAGACATTTGCTAAATTTACTGGTTCTGGGTAGGATAAAAGGACGTTCTAGCCATATCACAGAAATGAGACGGAAAAAATCATTGACAATTCATGGAATTACTAAAATTGATGGAAAACAATAAGCAAAACTAACTAGCAGATCCACATTCCTATTTCCAGACATACCTGCCAAGTAATACACCAGAGGCACTGCGGCCCTACAGAGAAGAAGAGCTTGATAATCTTCGAGGAAATGGAACGGGAATGCTTAAAGAATGGGATAGAGTTTATGATTATGCATACTATAACGATTTGGGAAACCCTAATGGGGGACCGGAACATGAACGTCCGGTTCTTGGTGGATCTAAGCAGTATCCATATCCCCGCAGAGGAAGAACAGGTCGTGCACCAACTAAAAAAGGTCAGCATCATAAACATATATGCAGTGCTCAATGATATTACGGCTTTCAGCCAATAGACTTCCAGAACTTTAATTTGGACAAAGTAGTTTTGACAAGAAAGTATTCTGATCAACTTGTTTTCCATTGGCCTTACAGATCCCACAACAGAAAGCAGATTGCGGCTTCTAGATTTAAGCATTTACGTTCCAAGAGATGAAAAGTTCAGTCACGTGAAATTTGCAGATTTCATTGCCTATGCTGTTAAATCTGTGGGTCAGGTGCTGCTCCCAGAGGTTGCATCTGTGTTTGACAAAACTTTCAACGAGTTTGACAGCTTTCAAGATGTATTGGACCTGTATGAAGGAGGAATTAAGCTACCTTCTCGTGCTATGGATAAGCTCAAGCACTGCATCTCATGGGAGCTGCTCAAAGAACTTGTCCGTTCCGATGGTGAGGGAATGATGAAATTCCCAGTTCCTAGTGTAATCAAAGGTACTTCAAGACCACTTCTGACAGCTAGTTTGGGTTTCCCAATCTAGAGCCTTAATTCTTCTTTTATAGAATTAGATTCATACAGATAATTCATATAAGTTTCATGTATTCTGATAGCCTGACCTACATGGGTATTTGCATTCTTGCAGAGGATAAAACTGCCTGGAGAACAGATGAAGAATTTGGCCGCGAAATGCTAGCTGGAGTAAATCCTGTAATTATCCGGAGTCTACAGGTAAATTAACCTTCCTTAGACTACCTGTTTCATGCTTAATGAGTTTCAGATCAAAATGTTGCCTGATTCTTTCTCTATCAGGAATTTCCACCTACTAGCAAGTTAGACCCCATAGTGTACGGCAATCAGACCAGCACAATCGGAAGGGAGCACATTGAGAAAAACATGAATGGGCAAACTGTAGATGATGTACGCTATTGGTCCTTTTAATCTTGTCAATGTAGTAGCTAGACAGAAGAAGAAAGTTGCATGCTCCATGCCTCGGTTCATTTCCCTTGTGTTTATTCACGCTTAACTTGAAGTTGATTTGACATCTTTATACCTGCAAATTCAGGCACTGAGGCAAAGCAAACTATTCATATTAGACCATCATGATGCATTGATGCCATACCTTAAAAGGATTAACACAACCACCACAAAAACCTATGCCAGCCGCACCATCCTCTTACTCCAAGATGATGGTACACTGAAGCCACTAGCAATTGAGTTGAGCTTACCACATCCACAAGGAGACAAACATGGTGCCCAGAGTGAAGTATTCACACCAGCTGAACATGGCACTGAAGGCTCAGTTTGGCAGCTCGCAAAGGCTTATGTGGCTGTAAATGATTCTGGCTACCATCAACTCATAAGTCACTGGTGCGTTTACTGTCAAAGCAGAATATTCAGTGCTGTATAAATTTAGAATCTTAACTAGTGTAGTTCAATTTGCTGCAGGTTGTACACTCATGCAGTGATAGAGCCATTTATAATTGCAACCAACAGGCATTTAAGTGCGCTGCATCCAATGTACAAGCTTCTGCAACCCCATTTCAGGGATACAATGAACATAAATGCCTTGGCAAGGCATACCCTCATCAATGCAGGTGGGGTACTAGAGATGACAGTCTTCCCATCAAAATTTGCGCTGGAGATGTCTTCTGCTGTTTATAAGAATTGGGTTTTCCCAGAGCAAGCACTCCCTGCTGATCTTCTTAAAAGGTTAGATGAAATGGCTTTTACTGTAAAATCAGTACGAACCACACTAGTATTGATTTTTCTCATTAATAACTTGTGTTTCCTCTCTGCAGAGGAATCGCAGTTCCAGACTCAACTAAGCCCCATGGCCTCAAGCTCCTAATAGAAGATTATCCTTTTGCTGTTGATGGGCTCGAAATTTGGTCAGCAATTGAAGAATGGGTCAGGGAGTACTGCTCATTCTATTATCATAATGATGGCATGGTACAAGGTGATTCTGAACTCCAGTCATGGTGGACAGAGTTACGCAATGTTGGACACGGTGACTTGAAAGATGAGCCATGGTGGCCTCAAATGCAGACAAGAGATGAACTTGTTCAAGCATGTACTATCATCATTTGGATAGCTTCTGCTCTTCATGCTGCAGTAAATTTTGGGCAATATCCTTATGCTGGCTACCTTCCTAATCGTCCAACTGTGAGCCGCCGATTCATGCCCGAGCCAGGCACTCCTGAATACGCTGAGCTCGCGTCAAACCCTGACCTGGCATTCCTCAAAACCATTACAGCTCAGTTCCAGACCCTCCTCGGCGTGTCATTAATAGAGATACTGTCACGACATTCTTCAGATGAGATTTACCTTGGTCAGAGAGACAACCCCGAATGGACTTCAGATACCATACCACGAGATGCATTTACTAGATTTGGTGCCAAACTGGTAGAAATTGAGAACCATATACTTGCAAGGAACACTGACAAGAAATATAAGAACCGGACCGGCCCTGTAAAGATGCCTTATACCTTGCTAATTCCTAACAGCTCTGATTATAGCAAGGTTGGAGGACTTACAGGCAAGGGAATTCCCAACAGTATCTCAATCTGAAGCGCAAAAGGACCGTACCTGGAATTTGAATCGTGTAGATATCAGGAAGCTATACATACTCCAAAAAATATTTTTGGCTTGCCAACTTTTAAATCTCCCAGTTTTATGCAGAGTTTTGTCACTTGTTCTTCTTCTTGTTACCTTGTATCAATTACTGTAGAAAATCGTTGTTTACCTGTTTGTGTTTCTTTTCCATTGTGATCTCTTGTATCCTTTGCTGTATAAAATCGTTATTTACCTGTTTGTAGAAAATCGGCGTTACCTTTTATCCGGACTATGATACCAAGCACAATTTTGTGTGATTAAATTATGTCAGCAACCAGAATTTGAGGAAAACAAATGAAAGCACCATTAATTGGTAGGGATCCGTCTCTAATAGACCAATACCTTTGTCTCTTATCATGGCAGCTTCACACTTGTACCGTGGCATTTTGCAAGTTTATGTATTCCATAACCTTTTAGACAAAATGTTGAAATTGATGGAGACTACATTCTAAATACCTGCCATAAGAATTCGAAATGACCAAATTGGGTCAACTCCACAAATTTGTTGTGATGAATTAGTACTAATGCCACCCGATTGCCAGGAGTCCTCCTGCTTTCCGCGAATTATGGTTGATCCAATCTCATCACTTCCAAAACTTCACCCTTTCTTTTTTAAGTTCAAGAAACTTCACCTTCGATGTATATGCAAAATGATCAAACCTTTCCTAGTACACTTCCAATGAAAACAGACCACGATTTATGAGTACTTTTTCTCTGTAATGCTTAAAGGAATTTTATGAAGCAATTCATGCAAGAGAGTTCGTAATCCATGCTTCAGTACATACGCAATTTGGGGACAGATTCATTCACCAAAACATTCAAAGCAAAGAGTACACGACGCATCAAATCATGAATAAAGTCTAAGACATGGCTCAGACTACGTAAGTTTTGTACTACTTTTTTTTTAAGCAAGAAAAAACAAGAACAGTGAATTCTTGCCAGGCTCTTTACTAATATGAATCTGTCACATATTTCATTCCAACTGTAATAGAGAAAATCCCTTAAATGCTTTGAAACTAATGAGCATCCTAAACTAGAGAACAACAGAATAGCATTATATAACTGAAGGCCTCACAAATTTATACTAGTAAGTATAGACACATTTGTCACAGACAAGATTTCGCGCCCAATTTTTTGAAAATAAAATAAATTTATAGGTTATTGAGAAAATTTGAATTTATTTGAAAATGATGAGCGAAAAATGAGTTTTTTATTTTAGAGAATAAACAAAAGAAAAGGGGCCTAAAATGGGACTTAAAAAGTACGACGGTTTTGGTCCAAAATAATAGTTTAAAAGGGGTTTTTAGAAAAAATAGGAGTCGCCACTTGGTATCGAGTTTAGGTGTACCAAATCACCTAAAAATGTATTTTTGATAAAAAAAAAAAAGATAAAACCCTTTTTAGATGACTCCAAATTTTTGAAAACAAAAGAAAAGAGTTCGGAAGTCACGGTTGAAAAAAGAGAAGGCAAAGATTTGATAGAATCAAATCTAAGGCACCCTTTCAATCTAACCAAAACTAGTTGAAAGATTTAGTCGAAAATTTTCTTAATCTAATCTATAAAACTTATCACATTTGGATGTTTCAACATGAATGCAAATCTAGATTTAAAGAATATCGAGAAGGTCGAAATATCTCTTCAAAATTTAATTGGTGCGAATCACGTTAATTGTGATACCCAAAATGATTCTTAAAAGATGTCACGAATATACAAAATATGAGACTTGAAGAAAAGAAAAATTATAATATATAAATATACGTGATTTAAAGGAGAGGAATACAATATAACGGGTACGGGAGACTAAGATTTGTGATTTCAATTTTCCTTTTTATAGAGAGGATGAGAGCGTGTTAAAACTAACAAACCACATTCATTCATTTCCCATATTTGAAAAATGAGTCTCTAACCCAATCAAGTGAATGGACTAGCCTACATCTAATTTTTTTTTAAATGAAATGCAAGTCTAAATGTCATGTTTGGCGCACAAAGGGACAAGAAAATATCCTAAAAATGAAGAATATGTATGAAATGCGATAAATGTCACACAAAATGTGAATCTAGCATGAAAACGGTTTAAAGGGTCTAACATTAGATTAGCCCATTTTTACAACTCTTCACTAGCGTTGGACTAGTGAGAAGTCAGGGAGAAAGGTCACAACTAGTGTTGGACTAGTGTTGTGACGTCATGCATTTATTATAACTAAATAAATCATATAAAACATAATTAAAACAAGTAAACACGTAAAACACATAGAACACATAACACATAAACATAATATCTAGATGCAAAAACCCTAAAAAAGTGAGTAAACACGTAAACACGCAAGTATACAAGCATACAAGCAAATAAACGCAAATAAAAGTCTAGCTATTACATTTATCTAACTAAATACATTTTTGGCAAAATTAAATCCTATCTATTACATAGCCTAACTAAATACATGTCTTGAGCATATATCTATTACAATTTGACATTTAAATGCCTCTCAAATAATCATCAAAATTAAATAAAATAAATGAAATTTAAAATGAATAATTAAAAGAAAATCATTCAAAACATGCAATTACACATAAAAAACACATTGTAGCACATAAAATAATTTAAAATAATAAAAAAGATTACCTTCCTTAAAGTTTTGGTTAAATAAGGTGAAATTTGTCCTATTTATGCTTTAAAATCAACAAAATAATCAAGACACCAATTTAATTATAAAGAAATAGAAATAATCATGAAATCTACCAATTAAAGCACTTAAATGAAGTATAATTAACAATTAAAGAAGACAAGTAACTTATATTTAAGAAATCAAAACTGTTAGAGACCTAATTGTAAAAATTAAGAAAGTTTTTAGGGTTAAATTATAATTATTACAAATATTAGGGATTAAAATTAAAGACAAATAAAGTTTTTGGACCAAAATATAATTACATTAGGGACCTAATTGAAATAAATATAAAGTTATTAGAGCCACAATAAAACTACTCAAAAGTCTAGGGGTTGAAATGCAATTAATGTATCCTGGTTTGACCAGAAAATGGCCTTGGGCCATCATTTTTATTAGCACTTGGACCAGAACTACCCTGGCCCAATCCAAAATCCAAGAAACAAATGCGGGCCTGCTATCTTTTGACCAAGAAAAAACCCAACAAAAAATGTTGGATTTTAACCTCCTAAACCCAAGTCAAAACCCAGAAAATAAGCCAACAACCCATTTGCCAAACCCAAACAAATAATCCTAAACCAATTCTCATCTTAATTTACTAAAACCGAACAAAATAAAAAACCAACTAAAAAATTATTAAACCCTGATTATGCCCCCAAAGCCTAGAAATAATTTGCTTAAAAGGCACATTTAAACATGCAAAAGATGATTAAAACTTAACAGGGGAAAAATGATTCAATTGCAGAAGTTTTTGGGCTATAGTAAAATTAACCAAAAGTTTGGGGTCAAAATAAAAATTTTGAAAGTTCTTCATGCACGCTTCGAAAACAGCTTTTGAAGTCATCTTCTACATTCTTTCTTTATTTCATCAGCACGCATGATACCAGTGGCGTATTTACACTGGGGGCACTGGGCCCCTTAAATTTCTATGATTCCTATAAAAATTTGATGTAATTTCAACTGTGCCTACTGGAGTTTTGTGTATCTATTGGTTTATAGACCCTCACTGCCCTCTTAAATTCTATAATACCTATAAAAATTTGATGTAATTTCAAGTGTGCCCTCTGGAGTTTTGTGTATTTATTGGTTTATATGCTTTTAAAGTTATTTTTTATTTTATCTGCTATTACAGCGACCGTAGAAAGGGTTTTTTCAATGATGAATATAGTGAAAAATCGGTTACAAAATAGAATAGGAGACACTTGAATGAATAATTGTTTAGTTATTTATACTGAGAAAAATATATTTCGTGAAATTCAAAATGAAAAGGTTGTAAACCGTTATTAAAATATGAAAACTCGTCATGAGCAATTGTAAATGGTTTAGTTTACTTTTGAAATAAAATTATTATTACATTAATAATTTTGAGTTTGTCTTTTGATGTTTTTTGTGAAATATATGCATCATTTATACTTGTTGGTGAATATTTTTTTCCTTAAAAAACTAAAAAAAGAATAGGTAAAAAATTTTAGAGTTGCTTTTGTCTCCGCTGAAAATTTTTTTCGGCTCCGCCACTACATGATACCACCAAAAATCATCAAAATTTGGACCAAAAACAAAATCATCAAAATTTGGACCAAAAACAAAATCATGCAACCCAGAACTCAACTTTACCACATTTAACATGAGGCTATAACAGATCTAAGCTAAGGGGTTCATGAAAAAGAAGAGAAAAAAAGAGAAAAACATATCAAAGAAGAAAGCAAGAAAAGGTGCAGCGAGATTCTAACTCATCCGGAACAAATTTGAGTGAAACGAACGAGAAAGGATGAGTGATGTTACCTCTAATATTTCGCAGCACCGAATAAATGGGAAGAATTCAACAAAAATACGCGTTCCAACCTGGATCAACCAACCCACACTTTTGCTACAAAAAACTTCAAGAACTGGCGAGCTAATGAGTTGGGAGCTTAATTCGAGAGGCTTGCAGGTGTTTTTTCAGGAAACTTTCAGCATGAAAACTCCTCTAATATGTCCATAGAGTATCCAGAAATCACGAATCAATCCAAAAAAGTCAAGAAAAAGATGAAAATGGCCTCTGAATAGGACTGCCCGTTCAACCTGACTCAAGTTCTTACAAAATTTTTCTGCACTTTTTCCTCCTCCTTTTTCTCTGTTTTCGCTCCTTTTTTATCTGTTTTTCTTTCTTCCGCCGCCTCTCACTATTTTTTTCTTTTTTTTTCCTACCCTAATGGTTGCATTTTATCTCATTTATAGGATCAAAACGCCCCCTCACACAAAACCTAGAAGCAAAGGTGGAGATTAGAGTTGGGTTTCTTGGCAACTTTAAAGCCATTGGATGGCTTGATTCCAGAAGATTCTTGATGTTTTCAGTTAAGATGAGTTGGCATTGTACTGAGAGGCTTGAAGGGAAAGAAAAATTGCAAAAAAAATGGGTGGAAATTGGATGAAAAAATGCAGCTGCAGTTAGTGTACTATGGCCTCGTCTATGGCCATGTACTGCTTGAGAAGAAACCAATGTGTGC